GTGGCTCGCGGAAAAGTCCGCAATCGCGTGGCATCATCGCGCTCTTTGTCGTCCCTTAGCGGGCAGGGTCGGTGTTATCGCGTGGGACATCTCGCCGACCTGACCATCATCGAGAGCCCTCTTCTTCGCGAGCTCTCTCCCTCTCTCTCTCTCTCTCTCTCGCAGGCGATCCTCATTACCGTCGCGAAGTACGGACACGTACACGCGCCTTACACGGGACGTACACGTGTAAGCGAGCGTATTCCGGCCGCATATCCGATCGGCACGACGATCACGCGCCACCGGCCGAAAGAATGTCGCTGATGTTTGCGAGAGAGAGTCATCCGACGCGGTGTAAGAAAATTGCTCGTGAGGATCGTGTCGGCGTACACACGCCCGTGTGTTTGCCAGCGGCTGTGCGTGTGTGTGTGTGTGTGTGTGTGCGTGCGTGCGCACGTCGGACGACAGGAAGCGGCCAAGGTTGGCTGCGCATCACCATACTGTGTCATGGAATCGATTACATCGAAGTGTGTATCCTCCCGGTCGGCGAGGAGGAAAGTGTGCCGCGGATCTCGCCGAAAACGCCCAGGGCTGCGATTTCGTCGGTCTGAGGGAAATTCGCGACTCGGGAGGCGGGGGGAGGGAAGACCGGGAGAGATTTTTCCGTCTGCCTCTGGCGTCGTGCTTTCGCACTGTGAAAGTGCTATGCGCGGTGAGATTTTTTCCGCGGGATTTCTGGGAGCGAGATCCCGCTGGAGGCAACAGATAGCAAAAAGCGACGGTGAAAATATCGAGCCAGAGATCGGGAGAGAATCGCGCGAGAGCAAACGGCCCAGATTGGATTTTCGCTCCGCGCGAGCGCGAGGGTTCCGGTCAACTTTGATGTCAATTTGAAATTCTCAACTTTCAGGTGAATTTTGAGATTCACTTGAATGGACTTTTTCTCCTGATTTTTCGGAGTCCGATTAGTTTCATCTCTTAGCTCCTGGTTCTATCAGGCTATAATCAGAATTGAGAAAGTTACTTTGTAAGAGTATTTAGTTACAGTTGCAGTTTTTTCCTCTGAAAAAGTAATAGAGATGTGCGAACTGTTCGAACTCGAATCCGAATAATTCGAACAGGAATCAAATACACATCGTTTACTTGCATCAGCTACCAAACGAGCCATCTGGGTCTGTATGTGTGAACCCTTGACTTGTAATTAATAATTTAATTATAAATTACTTTAAATATTTAAATATATATTTTACTTTAAGATGATATTACAATATCAATATTCCCTTTCATATTAAAATCTTCCATCATTATTTGCATGTTTAATAGTCATGTTAAATTTTTTAATGATTCGATTCGATTTCATTCGATTCGATTCGAATTCGAGTGAAATTTCGTAGATTCGATTCGATTCGAATTCGAATTAAAAAAATGAGATTCGATTCGATTCGATTCGACATAAAAATTTTTGATTCGCACATCTCTAAAAAGTAATTAGTTACAGTTACAAGTTACTGACCGTCAAAAATAATATTTTACAGTTATAATTATTCAGAAAATAACGAGTCGTTACTTTTTAGTCATCTTTTTACAATAATTGTGTTATTATTTTAAATTTCGTAATTGTGTAAATTCCTTCAATTTTATATAAAAATGGTCTGTTGATTATTATATATTCCTCATATTGTATATCATTTTTACAAACTAGATTCATTAATTTAAATAAGCAATTCATATTTATTCTTTAAGTCCATTAATGACAATTGTAAGAAAGAGAATGAATTTGATGAAGTTAATGAATATTAAAAATACTAAAAATAATCTTAACATCAAAAATTTTCTCACCAAAAAGCATATTGATATTTTATAAATAAAGACTTACACTCATATGTTTTCTTAAATTTGCAGTTGAAGTTTTACTTGCATGAATAATTTTTTTGTCAGCGCAAATTTTGCAGAAAATGCTCAGTTGTTCTCGTCTCCAAATTTTTGTAACACGAATATTTTTGCATATGATGGCCATGGCATTTTACAATCTTTCCCCGAAGATTGAGATGTTTTATCCATTGCTTGAATTTTTTATATAACTGAAACCACACTTCACGCTGGATGCAAGTTAACAAATAAGGACTGGCGACGCGCGACGGAAATGTCCAATAAGGGCACAATTTTTTTAAAAGAGATACAGGTTGCGTTCCGAGAGGAGACTATCAGCGCTATTGCGTCATTTCATCCTTATCTTAAATCTAATGAACAATAAAGATAGATGGCGCAATAGCATGTTTTCCAAATACAGCCAGAATAACTGTATGTTTATTGGATATCAAGCATCGCACGTCGCGTTATCGCGCTGATCTACCAGAAACTTAAGTTTGTAACATATAAAGTAACTATTAAATTAGTTACTAGTTATCAAACAGATATAACTAACTTAAGTTACAGTTACAGATGGAAAAAACGGAACGAAGTTATATTATAGTGACCAAGAAAAAATATCTGTAACTTCGTTACAAGTAACGAGTTACTTCCCAACCCTGGCTATAAAATGCCATCTCGTTATTTTGTTGAAATTTCGTAAAACAGGTAAAACTGCGACTAGCAGGTCGATTTATTAGCAACGGTCAAATCGAGCCTGAAATTTATATTGCACCCGATGTTATGCGCATGCATTATGAAAATCTACTACTGCGTTTAATGTTAACGAAGTTACATACATGCAATGTTGGTTCTTTCAATTTTTCACGTGAAAACGGCAAAAACTTCTCCGGGCACCCAATATTACGAGTCCTTGTGAATCCCGCGAGTTTGCCGAGTCGTCCGGCTCTTTTCGCATTTCGCGCGTATCGCCGAGCGCGTATTCCCACGCGCAATTACAAGGCGCAGCCTGATGAAACTCCGGGGGCCGTGAAGAATGCAGGACGCACGTTGGAAATGCAGAATGCAGCAAAACGATCGGCCGTTAACCGACGCGTTTTCGCGACGATAACACGTTTCGGCTGAGAAAAAGCGTCCTTTTTTAATCGCGCTCGCCAGCGCTGAGAAAGCCGCTAGATCACACACGCGAGATCTACCACGCTTCGTTACGGATCGCTCACGGGGATCGAATAATTCGCGCCGTAATTAAATAATACGGGTTTCCGCCGTCTCCACGCGAGGCTAATCGCAACCGCGACTAACGGCACTCGAGCCGAGATATCGGCGAGCACTGAGGGAGAGAGGGAGAGAGAGAGAGAGAGAGAGAGAGAGAGAGAGAGAGAGAGAGAGAGAGAGAGAGAGAGAGAGAGACAAGGAAAAACGCGCTCTTTGACGGGAGGAAATAGAATTTCTGCGTTTCGCGAATCAAATTCCGTTTTAATCAGCTCACCGCTAACGTGCTCATAAATGAGCACCATAAATAACTCTGCAACTTTTCAATGGATTTGCATCGAACTTGGTACACCCACGTGTTCCGGGTCGCTGACTATGAATCCGGAATCAAGTTTGAGAAATGCATAATGACGAGTCCGATATGGCAGCGCTTGAGTACTTTTTTAGTTCTCTCTCTAGTTCTCAACTTTTTTAGTTTTTAAAAAATATTTATTAAGATTGATATCTCCATTTGATTTGGTGCGAAATTTTCTTTAGAGGGTTTTACGAATTGCTGGTAACGAGAGTCGAAATTTTAAAATTCAAAATGGCTGATGCAAAATGGCGGCCCTAAGTGATTAATTTTGTTGTTCCATCATGGAGGAGATCATATTCGATATGTTTATGTTTTTTTGGGTTGTTGCTAATGAATCTAGTCGGACTTGTAAAGTCTAAAATGGTGGATCTAATATGGCGACTTCTAACGGTATTCCATTATGGATGCTTTTACCTTCATTATCAGCGCGTGAAATGTTGAAGGAAATTATTTCTTTGCCATTAATGAAAATTTCGGATTTATGACAATCATTATCTGCCACAAAAAAAAACGTACCGAGTTTGACACCTATCCATAATGGAGTATCAAAGTTTGCTTCTTGAAGCCGCCATATTGAATCTGCCATTTTGAATTTTGTAATTTTGACCTTGGTTTCGTCACCAGCCGCTCAAAAAACATGAACAAATGAAATATGATCTCCTCCATAATGGAATATCAAAGTTAGTCATTTGAAGCCGCTATATTTGATCCGCCACTTTGAATCTTGTAATTTCGATCTTGGTATCGTCAAACAACCTTATAATAGGTTAGTTTCCATGTAAAATACGAAAAATTATTCGCTTTCGCCGATTTTGGCAGAAAACGTTGATTTCGGGTCTACTAAAGAACCGGTTAAACAAACCGGTTATTGATCGAAGATATTATTGGTGAGAAAATTTCAAAATTGAGAAACGAGATGTGCGTCTCGTTAAGCAAACGTAACGCAGAAACGGAGGAGAAACCGAGTGAACGTGACGCGATGAACGAGTTTTCTAATTCGTTTTCGACATTCTGGAAAATGAGAATACAGAATTTCAGCTTAGGTTTAATTCTAAGAAGCATCGATCGAAGATGTCGCCAGGGAGAAAATTCCAAAAGAGAAAAACCAGATGTCGCTGCTTCTCGTTAAGCAGACGCAACGAGCAGACGGAGAAGAAAGATCGAGTTAACGCGACGCGACGAACAAGTCAAAAGCATCGCAGCCCTGCGGAGGGAGGAGAATTTTTTCACGACTCCAGACCGAATTTGGCTCATAAGATCCGCCGACCGGAACGCGTCCGGTTCGCATGCTCGTTGTCGCACGACGACTCGAAAGCAATCTCACTTCTCTGACTGCGCAACTGCGCGTCCACTTCACGGGACGTCGCGAGACAGACTTGATTTCGCCTCTCGACTTTGAAATTTTCCTCATTAACGATATCAACTCCTGTCGATCAACGGTGCCGAGTGCGCGATTTCGCGCGAGTCCGTTGATCGCGATCTCGATCGCGCGCACGCGTCCTGTCTCGCGATATCCGCATATTTCACGCTCCGCCGAGATAACTTTCACTAAATAATCCCATGTCATGTTACTTGGGTATTTCAGGCCAACACGCCATGCGACAGTCTTAGGGGGCACGCGGGGCCGAGGAGAGGGACGAGATCTGCGATCAGTAAGCGGCCAAGACGTGCAAGGTAAGCCAAGAAACGACGTTTCCGATTAAAAAGGCCGCTCGCGCACGCGTTTTTCCGCCGCGCGGCGCTCTCGCCTTCCCGACTGTATCTAATGCCATGATTGACGTATGAAAGTTGCTATGCTGGCAATTCGAGAGAATTTCACACTCTCTTTCTCTCTCATCCTCACCTTCTCTCTCTCTCTCTCTCTCTCTCTCTCTCTCTCAGTCATTCTGTTTCCTCCGCTCCCTTTCTCTCCTTCCCGCGGCAGCTCGACACTCTCCAGTGGATCTTGGAGCAATTAAAATCAATCCCGGGGATTTTGCTCCCTGAAAGCAACCTCCAATCTCGAAAGTGAATTCCATCGAGAGCAAAACTGCCCGCTGGAAGCGGAACGAAAAGCGGTTTTCAATCGGCGTCCGCTCCAACGACCGGCTTGATGCGACCGCTTTTATAAATTTACTCGCATTATCACGACGCGCGCGCGCAAAAAGACGCGATTTACGACGTGAGCGGGCGCGGAAAATTCGAACAACACGCCGACCGCCGCCACGCTGCTCTTTGATTATTTTAATGATCAATTAAAGCTCGAGTCAACGAAGCCACGGTAGATAAGCGCGAATGGCGATGCGTACGTTAGTCTCATCTCGACTGCGTATCTCGTCCCGCGACAGTCGACATGTTAATCTCCTCGCGAACGAGTTTGTTAATGTTGAGAGAAATTAATTTTGCTGTAAAACGACGCACACACTCAGCGTTTGCCGATCGTGCGACGATATTTCTCTTCCCTTTGTACGGTATTTTCCGCTGAGCGAATTTATTTACAGCCCAGTTCGCTCTATTCTTCGGCGGTTTATAAACTTGAAAGAATTCAACATGTCTAAACGTGCACGTATAGCGCGATCTAACAACTGACCCTGTCTCGGGCATTCATCGACGTTGAAGTTTCTGCTGATTGTAACGAGAACAGTTAATAGTACGCGGTGAGGCACACAAAACAGGCCACCTGAATAATTTTGAAAATGTGCAAGATAGAAAAATATTTTAAATACAGAAGTTGCAGAAGTTTTAGTGACGCGTCACACAGCAATATCAGCATGACCTTGAACAGCGTCATCAAGGTTACGGGAAGGTCACTTTGAATTTTTAAGTGGAAACCCCCATTTTTTATTATACTATCTTTTTCTACCAATTAATTTGAACAACTCTTGTGTGAAATATTTTTTTATTTGCTTAATAGTCTTGGAGATATTTAAGGAGAACTTGCCAACTTTTTCAATATTTTTAGCTTACGATATCTCGGTAACTATTTGTCGGAAGAAATAACACGCCAACTTTTGTTAACATGATGATTTTGAAATTTTCAAAGGTCCTCAAGTTAACAAAAGTTGTTAGGGCGCTAGGTTGTAACGGCATATTCTCGGGACCAAATAGAATAAAAGAATCCAGTACTATTTTTTCCTTCGACAAATAATTATCGAGATATCGTAAGCCGAATATCGAAAGTTATCAAAAGTTTTTCTCAAGTATTTAAAAAAATAAAGGCAAACAAAAAATTCTTCAGACAAAAGTTATTCAAACTAAGTGGTAAAAAAAGATGATAAAATAAAAAATTGGGGTTTCTGCTTAAATTAGTTCAAAGTGACCTTCCCCTAACCTTGATGATACTATTCAAAGTCACACTAGTATTGCTACGTGATACATCACTTAAAAAAGAAGAAACCTATAATTTTTGTGTTTAACATTTTTCCATTCTGCATATTTTCAAAGTTATTCAGCTGGCCTGTTTTAGGCCAGCTCACCGTGTATATCGAACAAATCACACTCTCGTGTAAATAATATTTTAACATTATCGCGTATTTCGTAGCAAGTTGGGACTTTGGCGCAAACGCATCCCAATTGGACGATGAAAAACGTAACGATTGTTCGTTAATCGATTACTTTGGTCCGACTGATTTTATTTAACCGATTGACAATCAGTTTCATCGGTCGACTAAATTATCCGCAATCACATACACGACGATCGACCAATTCTGATGGTCGTTTCGCCGGTTACCCCAATCGGGCAAAGATTTCAGCCAATTCAGTTCATCTATGCCCACAACATTGCTCCAACAGAACACCATCGGGTCTCATTTCCCGCTTCTTCTTCCTCTTTTCTAATAGAGACTTATGTCCTGTTATCTAGTTCCGAGGCCGGATACTAGAATTGTGACCAATTTTTAAGTTCCTTAAAAGTCGGTTGCTAGCCGGACTTAGCCGATATAGATCGGCGTGAGAGTGAAAAACATTTTTTACATAAATCAATACGCATTGAGGCACACTTATGGTGGATGTCGGCCATGAGTGAACCCACTGTTTAACGTCTCTTCCAAAAGGCAGAGGCCAAGTTTAGAGGGTTACCCTTACCACCCAGCTGGAGAGCGCAGCTTTTAGTGGGCCTGGCGGGATTCGAACCTGGTTTCCCCGGATTACGAATCTGGCGCTCTACCCGCTAGCCACCCTGCGCTCTTCGTTTCCCGCGTCTCACGGAAAACTCGCGGCCGCGCGCTTCGGCCCGGTCCGGTCCGGCCGAGCGCCAACGTCACCTCCGCCGCGCTGCGGCGGTCAGTGGTAACCGGGTATTTTCTTACCGTGCAGCACCGCGAGCGAGAGCGCATATTACCGCGGTGTCTAACGGTGCAGTCGAGGTCCGGCGCGAGTGCATCGAAGCGTGCCGACGAGAACTCTCCTTCGCTCGCGGTCCCGCATTGCCGGTTTGCCGCGGAGTCATCGTTAGACGCGAGCGAGGATCCCGCGATGAGAACCCGGCGGAGAGAACAACGGCAAATACGACGATTTCTCGCTCGTTTCCGCCCCGCACGTCGCGCGGAATCGTCGAGCTTAGCGCCGAACGCGATTCGTCCACCTCCGGTCCGCGGACGCAGGACATTGATCCTGCGAACGCGCCACTCGACGGGCGCCGCGCTGCGCGGGATTTTTCGGGAAAATTTGTCACTCATTCCTTTTCCGCGAACTGTTAAATTATTTCCCTTTCCTCTCATTCTTGAGAAAAAATCTCTTCTTCCCCGCGAGTGTCAATGACGATGATAATGGCTTTAACATTTTTGCAACAACAACAACAATATTGTTATCATTTCATCATTATTTATTACAAAATAATTATTTATTCTTTTATAATTATTTATTATTTTATAGTTATTTATTGTTTTATAATTATTAACAATTATAATAAGTATTATTGTTGTAAAAGTTATAATCGAGGTAGCATGGGGAGATGCTTCGCGCGAGTTGACTCTCGCGTAAGTAATATTCTAACATTACCGCGTATTTCGCGGCAAGTTGGGGCTTTGGTGCAAACGCAGCCTAGTTGGGCGATAAAAAACGTAAACGCGCATATTATCTGACAAAAATCCGCCGCTCGCACGGGGACGTAAGTTGCGTGTCGCGAGGAAGGACTTTGCTCGAGAATTACGCAAACTGCCGCGATCCAGGGCGCGCTTGGACCTTTCTTGTCGCCGTTTACGCGCGCAAGTTCCGCAACTCGCTTCGCGTTAGCATTGTTCAACTTGTCTTTTCGTAGCGGCGCACGCGTGCGCTTGAAATTCCTCGGGGGAGAGAAAGCGGGACCGGAGCGGTTGAGGAGCGAGCGGACGCGGCCGCCGAGCCGTACGTTCTCCTCGCATTTCTGTTATTGTTGTTGTTATTATTATTATTATTATTATTATTATTATCGCGTTACTCCATCGGCGAGCGCGCGTGTCCCTAATTACGCGACGGGCAGTCGCGACGACGCGCCGCGGCGAAGGACGAGCGTTTCGCGCTGAAGCGGTGATTTTGCGTCCCGCGCCGGCGAGCGGATGGCGGCCGCGGAACTTCTTGCGGCCTTTTTTCCTTCTCACCGGACACACGGTAGTCGGCCGAGCACGAGGCAGCCGAGGATTGCGCCAGGCCGGAAGGCCGGATATCAATCGCATCTTTTTTAATGGTCTCGCCGGCGGATAATGGCTGTGCCAAAGGTATCTCCTCAACATCTCCGAGCGCCCGCGAAGGCTGGGAGAAAGAACGACGGGCGGTGAAAGAGGGCGAGGGGGGGAAAGAGGGGGGGACTGGAGGAAGGAGAGAAAAAAAAGAGATGAGCGAAACGCGATAGAGCCTCTCGTAATAAAATCCCCCCGCGCGCGTCCGCGCGTTGCGTCGGAATGCTAGCGAATCGGCCGCTCGTGTGATGAGGAAGGGCATGACTCGACTTTTCTACGAAAATAAGTTCTATCGGGGCGGGAGAGAGAAAGAGGGGGGGGGAAGTAAGGGGGAACTGTGTACCGTTAGGGTAGCCTCGGCGATCCGCGGCCGGAAAGGCTGCGGCGGAGCCGTCGCTCTTGTCTCGAGACAAGGCGCGCCTACGTCGGGAGAGCCGTTGCTAATTGTTTCCCTTTTCCTCCCGCCCGAAGACGCCCGGACACGGTAGATGCACGCGCGGCGTCTCCCCCCTTCGTTTTCGAGAAGCCGGTCCTCCCCCCGCGAGCGTTAACGACGATAACGAGACGCCGATACGATGTATTTCTGACAGCAATAATAACAAATATAACAATTATGACTGTTGTCGCTGTAGAAATTATAATTAAACTAACAATTACTATTCATCCGAGAAGCAAGTAATTTCAGAAGAAGCGGAGTCACGCTAAATTTTGGAGGATTTTATCCTTATGTATGGCCTCAAGAGGATTCCTTTAAAATTAAGAGGGGAATATTATAAACATATTATTCTTAAAGTTAGAGGGATTATATGTTGTTCGTACGATGCGAATCTTATTGATTTTAATATAAATTTCCTCTTCCGTACACAGATTGTTCAATTTTTTTTTAAGAGGATTATTATTTACTCTTATTGTACTTTATTCTTACTTGTACTAGTTAATTTGAAAAAAATTATTACAGTGTATAGCGAAAAGTAATATATATATATATATATATATGAATGTACTTCTGGCTCCAGTTTTACAATAAAAGGCACGAATCAA